GTATATATATATATATATATATATATATATATATATATATATATATATATATATATATATAACTTTATATTATTAAGCTTTTGAGCTATATACAACCTAGTGCCTAGTGCATCAGTGCCAAATATAATGAAATGTGAGATATTACGATTCACCACATATGATGCTCGTTAAACTTTGATTAATCTAAGCGATAAAAGGACGTTTCATAGCGTTTAATTGCGTTGTTACATGTGAGAATGAAAACAATACAAGCCGAAAAATTTTTTATTATGTAATTCTAATGGAATGTTTTTTTGTAGATTTTCGCTCACAACAAACAATGCTGTTGACCAAATTTCCCCATCACGTCATCACGTTTTAAAATTAATTTTAGTTTTATATTGAAATATGAGCAATTTAAAGGAAAAATATGTATAATAAATTGTGCACCGTCAATAAAATAATAGATAAATGTTTTGATTTACACACTGATTCTTTATTAGAAAAAAATAAAAAATCGTCTTATAAGTAGCAAAAAAAATTATTTATTAAAGATATAATACATAAAAAAGAAATTTTTTTTTTCATATTTGGTAAAACTTTTTAGTAAAGGTGAATAGTAGGATTTCAATATTATAGATCCTGTTTTCTTAGTAACAATATCCTTTTTACTGAAAGTATTTAAAAAAAAAAAATACAATTCTAAATTGGCTGATAATACAATTTTTTTTTATAATAAAAGACGTTTTTATTAAATTTCAGTATGTGGAAAAAAGTTTCAGTATGTGGAAAAAAGTTCTCAAATTTTTTTTTTAGATAAATTACTTTCAAATTTTTATATTTATACATCATTTTACTTCAGAATTTTATATTAAAATTTAATAAAACATGCGCGCGCGCGTGTTTTATTAAATCTCTTATTACAAAAATTGTTTTATTAAACATTTTAGGATTATAATTTTTTTACATATTTGTAGTAAAATTTCAAAGATATTTTATGACAAAGAAGACAGAACCCATAACATTAAAACCCGACTATTTATTTTCTCTAATCTTCTCAAACATGAAAAAATGTCTACTTTTCTAATTTCACTATATTTATCTAAAATTACTATATTTTTAACAAGTTTTCTTGCTACTTCTGAAACTTTTCTTCCTTTGCTAACAAGAAATTATAATATGCAAAATAGGTAAATATTTACTTATTTATTGTTTCATTGATGATAAACTATTTATTATATATTTTTTTCTTTATTTCTCACTTTAAACTTCAAATTAACTTTAAAATGTGACGTAATGGAATAATTAGCAACATTGTTTTTTGTGAACAAAAATCTATAAGAAATGTCAACACTGGTTAAACAATTGACAATGTTTTCAATTTTTTTTGTTGTGTAATTATGAAAGTAATTTCAGAACATAAAATCTAATGGGAAGATCAGTTTAGATAATTTTAACTAGTTTGTGCACAGATATTTCATTAACATTTTATTATGGCTAAACAGAAATGAAATTCCAATAATAGGATTCATTTCATATGTATAAATATATCTTAGTTTTTATAGCAACTTTTTTATATATATGCACATTTCTACTAGCTTATCTAGGATTCTGATTAAACTTTACAGAATAACCACCACTATTAGGATCCTGCTGCAGTTCAAAGTTGTTTGTGGAAAGACCGAAAGGTTTCAACACCATATTTCCTAAATCCTTAAGTTTACTTAACATTTCTGCCTTCAATTTTTCATTTCTTTCTTCAATTAATGGTGGTAACCTCTGAAAAAGAAAATTTCATAAATTGAAGGACAATTTAATGCATTATAGGTAATCATACTTCAGAATTATCTATTCTGCTGTAAATAATTGATGATCATACCCTGACTGCATGATTAGCTTCTGTATGGCTGGGGTCAAAAGTCAAAACTTTGTTAAAATCCTCCAATGCTTCATCTAACTTATCTGTCTCTTCATATAATTGTGCCCGCCTTATATAAGCCTTTATATAGCTAGAATTCAATTCAATGGCTTTTGTACAATCAGATATTGCTGAATTTTTGTCAATCTAAAAAGAATTACTTATTAACATACAATATGACCATAAATTATAAATCTTCAGAATTTCAATATATTTTTAAGTTACCTGGCACTTTGTTTTTGCCGCTGCTCTATTAGCATATAATATAGATCTTTCTTTATCATATGCTAAAGAACAAGTTTGCAATCCTTGAGTATATAGCGATATGGCGTGAACATATTCACCATCTTTGAATAAGACATTTCCTATATTTTTTAATCTTTCTGCTTCATCTTTTAATGCCTATAAAGATAGTCAAAGAATGCAACATAACGTGTTCAACAATTATACAGAAATATTTCACAATGTATACCTCTTTCTCAGTTTCTGTAAGATTTATTTCTCTATCTTTAAGAAGCTCTTCGTCTACATCCTCCAAGACATCTGTATTTTGTGTGTTATTGCTATTACTCCCATCGTGCTCCTTATCTGTGATATCCCATGAATCAGCAGTTACATTTGTATTGTTTGTATCTAAATTTGAAGTAATATTTTCCGCCGTGTTTTTGTCTGAATTGAGACAAGAATTTTCAAGATCTTTAGTGATCTCCTTTATAACTTCCTCGTTCGATTGAAGTTTTTGCGAATGTTTGTTTGTATCACCCATCGTTTGATTAGATACAATTAACATTAGAAAGAAGCCAGAGAGAGCGGCCACACCAGCGTTTTGACTGACACCAAAAGTCTGTTCTTTTTAGTTGAACTATAGGTTTGTTCGAGTCGCATGCCCCAACGTGCTTCTACTCTCTCCAACGCACTCTGATTGGTCCGCGTTGTGACGTAACCAATCAGAATGCGTTGGTGCGAGTAGGAGTACGTTAGGGCATGCGACACGAACTTTATGTGAACTGGTGCACATTGGTGCACAATAAATTAAAGTACAAACTGGTTTATGATGGCCGTAACTTATAGTGAATTCGGTCGGTTCGCACTGACTCTGAACTAGTGTTGCACCGAACGATATGAGTGCAACACTAGGTCTGGTGAGAATTAACATTTCTCGGCGCAACACCAAATGCATGTAACACTTCGATCCTCCAACATTTCACTCGTGACAAGCGAACTGAGACGGTGCGGTGTTATAAGTAATATAATCATACAATATGAGTGTAACATTCAAAAGATTTATATTAAACGAAAATAATGAAGTTATACAGGACATGAATAATATTTTATATGAAGTTGAAAATGAAGCAGGTAACATGATATTTAAAAAAAATTTTTAACATTATATTTAATATTTTTACGCTCAATCTTTAAAATTTTTAATATTAAAATATATCCAATATAATTATATAAATATATATATATATATATATATATATATATATATATATATATATATATATATACACACCCAGTAAACACCAAGTAACAGTAACATAACCTCAATGTTACAATTTCCTACTCAACAATAAAACTGTTATATAACGCGTGTGTCATATAATAGTTATATTCTTGAGTGACAAATTGTAACATTGAGGTTATGTTACTGTTACTTGGTGTTTACTGGGTATATATATATAAAGAGAATATGATATTTACAATATTTAATATATAGATTTTATTCGTATATACATAGGTTTAAACATAATTATTAATACATTATATAAATTTAATTTGTACATAGGTTTGAACATAATTATGATGGACAAGAAACAATTGCTTGAAGCAGGCTATGAAATTCCTGACAACTTTAATTTGTACGAGAAGAGAACAGAAGAATCTCCAAATATAAATGACAAGTTGGATGCACATACTGTACAAAATGTTGACGAGTGGACAGAGGAAAGCACCAGATTCATATTAAATAAATATTCTGAGTATTTACAATCAGTTGGCCCGATGAAAAAATTTAAAAATAAGAAAATAATGTGGATAGAGATCTCAAAAAATGTAGAAACAGTTTTAGGCATATACAAAACATATATACAATGCGAAAATCGTTACAAAACAATTATGAGAAGAAAACGTCTTTGTGATAAAAATAATAGTACTTCCGGATCAAAAAGAGTGAAAGTAAGTTTTGAAAATGAACTTAAACAAATTGCTGCCAAAGATGACAGTATAGAACCAGAGATATTACAAAGTGCAAGTAATGTTGTATTTAATGTTAAAAATACTAATTTGTCAGAAGCATCCAAAACAGTAAAAAAGAAGAAAAGTAAAAGTAGCTTACTTGAAACTCTAATTGAGATGCATAAAGAAAAAGAATCTAAAAGACAGGAACGACACGAGGAGAAAATGAGTTTGTTAAAAAGTTTTCTCGAAAAAGAAAATGTTCATAAGGATTCTTGAAAGACACATTTCATATATTACAAAGGATATTTATATCAGTATTTTTATAGTAGATATTAGGAGTTTTCTTTATGTTTTTTTCATAACGCGTATAAAAATACGATATAATATAATGTAAAGACAAAGATTTATGTTTATAAAATAGGAAAAACATGTAATAAGATCGTATCTATTTATCTTTTTAATTTGATATTAAATAAATGTATTATAATTTTCTTAATGTTTAATATAAAGATTTGTTTATATGCTGCATTGTGTGATAACGCAACTTTCTTATTTTGTTATTATTTATGTTTTAAGAACACACTGTGCAATATAGATATGTAATTTACATGTTCAATATTGTGTTACTATATTTGTATTTTGATTATATCTTAATGTCTCTATATGTATATTATTATTAAGAGTGTAATAATGCTGTATCAATAACATATTTTTTTATTACCATGTATTTAGTTTTACAAATGTGCAACTAAATAATACAATGTTAAATAGATGGTTGATTAAATACTATGGTTTAAATAAAAAGTTATAAGCTATATTATTGTTCATAGTATGCTCATATATTAAAAAAAAAACTATATATCTATAAACTTAAGAACTACATTTACATACTATATTATTTACGTTAGTATTACATTAATTTAATATGTGGCACAAAAAATTTCGTTTTTCCTCACCGGCAGCTCTATCTTCGTTTCTGTAATCTTCTTCGAAATAATTGTCATTGTTCTGAAAGTGTTCATCAACTTCCTCAAAAAAATCGTCTACATTATCGTCATAAGAAATACACAAATTATGTAATGTACAACAAGCTATAATAAATTTACAGCTACGTTGAACTGTGTGAAAGTCTAATCTAATCAGTTGTCTGAATCGTGCTTTTAATAAACCAAAAGCATTTTCTATTTTTACTCGACAAACAGAAAATTTATAATTGAAATTTCGTTGCTCTTCCGTTAAATTTCCATAGTCTCTATAAGGAGTAATAAGGTATTTTGTTAGAGGATAGGCAGCATCGCCTAATATATGCCATTCATTCCCACATATATTCGGCAACATAGTTTTTATGAAAGATAAATTGAATACACGTGCATCGTGAATTTTCGAAGATGTCCCTGTGAAAACATCAAGAAATCTCTTCTTTGCATCACATATTGCTTGAAGCGTTAAAGAAGGCATATCATGTCGGTTTACATATGTTGACTTGATTTTGTGAGCAGGTGTACGTATTGTAATGTAAGTACCATCAATACATCCAATAATTCCAGGAAAACCATTGATCTGCAAAATTATATCTGCGAATTATATTTGATATTAAAAGTGATTGAGAAAATGTTAATAGTTATTAATTCTACTGAAATATTCATTAATTAAATAGTGTCCATCTACTAGCTGTTCAACAAATCAGAATCAAATAGGAAAATATTTTTCTATAATGCAGGTTTCACATCGAGTCCGATGTTCGATGTACATACGACGTCCGATATCCAATAGGAGAACAGCTTTCCAATAAAGAATTGAATTCTCTATTGAAAAGCTGGTTTCCTATTGGATATCGGACATCGTACGTCGGATATCCGACGCGGTGTGATTTCTGCATAACATGTATTGTAACTAGTAGCAATGAATGGTATGTTTTCTTGGGTGGAATCCGATAGCCCACATCGATGATTGACTAATTTAATGTAAAATTTTCTAATTGATGGTTGGACGGAAAAAATCCTAAGCATCGATTGATATAAGTGGATATGTGTTATCGCACCGTGCGCTAACGAGACCCTCAAATTTTTTTTATTTTAATAAGTTCTTGTTGAAAATATTTTAAACATATATTTCATAGAAATATTTGTTTGTTATATTTACATTTTCAAATTGTCTGGAAATTTCTGTCTTTTCTTCAATGGTTTCAGGAAATTTTATTATAGATCCTGCTATGCTATTTAAAAAATCCATAATATTATCAGAAACAGCATGAAATGTAGACTCCGCCATACCAAATCTGCTTGCTACATCTCTGATAGTACATTTGTTACCTGCAAACCTTTAATGAAAATACTAATAAATAAATACATATACAGTGTGTCCCATAAGTTCGGCAACGGCAAGAAAACTCGGCGGGGGAACATTTTAGAGAAAAATGTTTCCAATAAAAGTTGTAAG